ACCAATACCACATCAGACCAAATTCCACGGCTCATCCCCGTGCCTCTCTTCACAAACATGCAAACGCTTAACCCTGTTTCCCATCTTTCTTTCGCTGCTGCGTCAGCATGCCTTTAGTCAGGCCCTACAGATTCTAAACCCTTGATAGAAGGCCAGTGATGCCTCCATGATTCGTCACACTTGCAACAGATATGGAAAGCGTTGCAAGGCAACTCGCCATGCCATGGTCCTTTCCGAGATTGCGTGTAAAGTCTTTCTAGCATCACAGCAAAGCTGGCAACCCAACCCACCCATGGAAAACGTGAGACCGGGATTTATGAAGAGAAGATCTGTGATGGCCACGAGACGATTGATCATTCATTTACAGTGTGCCACGAGTTTCACGGAAAATCTTTCGGTGTATGTCTCAGGCTCCAAGCTGCTTCAAGCCTTGGGATCAAGCAGCAAAACTGGAATGGCGATGCGGTTGACGGGAGAAGATGTAGATGTTTCATTAACTTGTTGCACATGTCAATTCTAGACCTCATCGAGCAGGGAATCCGAGGCGCGATGCAAAGATTTCTAAATGCGGAATAACCTCTGTGGTAAACTCAGGTCCTAGACAACAAAACACCGAAGGTCTCAAAATTTGAAGGGTAGCAGTATAAATAGAGACATACAGCACAGTTGCAACAATTCTTCGGGAATGAGGAATGTGCCTAAACTCAGTGAGATAAATCCCTAGAAAAGCCAATTAAACAGTGTCTCTTGCATTAGCAGACAGGGAATAAACCAACCTTGCCATGTACCAAGGTTCAGGCGGCCATCGGTGATAGGTATCATCACCGACGAGCCAACAAGTGAAGCTTTGGTATGCGATACCCTGAAGAGGGCTTGTTTAGGGCCTCCGGAGCTGAACCGGGGAGCCACTCACGAATCACTGAGATAGAAATGAATGAATAGGTTAAGATATGGCCAACCAGGGAGACCTGAACGCACTCTGGACCTTCGTCTGTGTGGCGCCAATTCAGACTCTCGGGCACGATTGTGTCCAGCGCCATATCCATATCTGCGATCATGTAGGATCAGATTACATACCATCGATGGACGTATGTGTGTAACTTACCTCTTCGTACATCTTTTATACAAACAGCGCTGGAATTTTAAGATGACGCTGGGCGAAGGGTATGCCGTTGACGCACCTTTATCATAGTTTTCGTTCACAGTCAACCCTGCAGAAGTATGTTGGCTTCCACCCTTTTTGTTAGGTTTCAGGACCACTGCCGGTCATCTGGAAGGTACCTACATAAAGAGATACAGCATACCGACCTGCAAAACGAGTTGGGATGCCGTTCACCGAACAAAATGTTCAGCGTACCTTGACACCTTCGAGGCCAGGACGGATGTGGTTGATCACTTCATCAGTGACCAGATGACAGCCCTTAGCTCTCTTCGAAAGGGTAAAGGTGGTTTGCCAGCCCATAGTAGTAGGTGCTATCACAGAAACGACGGTCAAATGATTGTGTTTTGGGTGGAAGGTGTCTGGTTACGTCATTCCTTTGAGCCCGAGATACCCGACTAGGGTTGAAAGTTAACATCGAGCATGAGGGATCTAGCTGCCAACAAAGTTCTAACTGAGATAGATGCACAAGATGCTAGTGATGAATAACATCGATTTGATTCATGATAATGGAAGAAACCGAATAGGACATGCAAGAGTACTCGTAGGAAATACGAAGAGTCGTCGAAGACACTCGCCTGAGATACGAGCTTGCTTGAGGAGTGCCACAGAACCTTCATTCACTCCCCAAATCTCTTGAGTCTTTCAGTGCCGCCGCGATTTCCCGGAACGTTACGATTCCGACAGTGGTTTGCATAGTGTCCCTTTTCCCCGCACTGGGATCAGAGAAAATAGTGAGAACCGGCAGAGAAAGAGTAGGTTTCAGCTTTCTGCTTACCTTGAAACACAGAACCTCGTCAAGATTGCGCCTCGGGGGGCCGATCATGGGATTTCCGGGACCACCTGGCATATTGGCACCTCCCGCAGCGGTTCTATCAAAGTCAGCGTAGCGACCATAGCCTGGAGGCGGAGGACCCAGATCTTTGGCAGAAGGGGGCGAGGGTGGATCATAAGCCTTGGACGGAGGTAAATTAGGCTTTGGACTAGAAATAAAAGGTTAGCACAAATTAGAACGATAGAACGGCTCACACCTACTGGCCGCGAGGGCATTCAGGACCAAGAGGACAGAAGCCAGTCAAATATGTCTGACAGGCAACTTTTCGAATATGTTTCCGCGGACATGTAGGCCCTGATACAGCACCTCAGCATAAACATCAACGCACAAAACGGAAACACTGGCCTAGTTTACAGAAACCTCGATTGTAGTCAGGGCACTCAACACGCCGCTCTTTTGGATGGGCGTATAAGCATTCATCTCCTGCAGAACAATAGCCATACTTCGCAAACCACCAGCATTCCGGCATTCGTCTCAGATTGTATTCATGTAAAAACTCGCAAGCGTCCCCCTTCTTACACAATCCCCTTAGCCAGTGTTTGCAGACTGTAGAGAGTCTCTCTCGTTCTCGGGGATGAGTAGGAAGCTGTCGCGGGGGCTGAAAGTTTTGGACAGACGGCGTCGTATGTCGCAAAGGGCAATGCAACGGTCCCAGAGGGCAACCCGCAGGAGTCAACGCTAGCCGGCATATTTGATCGTCTGGAGAGGTTTCCAATGAGCCGGGCCATTCATAAACTCGTTTTCTGTCATACCTTTATCTAGTTTTACACCGAGTTCTAATTTGATGTGATTCTCTGCAGGAAAGTTGTTCTGATGAAACTGAGGGTTGATCACGTCTCGAAGAGCGGATGGACCAGCAAGAGGGTTGGCAGTTGTCATTTCTGAGACCGGGGAAGTTAAAATCCGCAATGAATAGTACGTTGGAATAAGCGACGTTGCAGAATATCGTCTCCTTGGGAGTTCTTTCACAAATGTGAAGCTGCAAGGGGGTGACGCAGTGTCGTAGTCAGAGCCGCGCTCAGATTCACGCGTCAGATTCACATGAACCTGCTGACCAATCAATGATATAGGTGTTATCTCATCTTCTCATTCTAGGTCTACTTGTTATAAGAGGACAGACCGACGAACTACCACAGTCCTACTAAATCAATTAACCCTCCAGCGTGTTTTACCCTGGTTATTGCTTTCTCGACTTCTGAGGTCCAGGCTTCCAGAGTAGCCGCATCTCGAGCATCGCAAAGAGTACCCTGCACCTCCACGAAGTAAACGTTGTGGAACGGCTTTGGCTCCAGTGAAGGTCGACGATCAACGCGAGCGGCGAAAAGGTCTAGGAGTTTCAAATACTTCGTAATGTCATAACTGCAAGCGTCAATGTCTGGAAAGGACGGTGACGGAGCGGAAAGGCGAACAAGAGCTTTTCTCTCGCATCTACTAGTAAGAAAGGGTGGTAAGTCGAAAGATCGCGTGTACGCGGTAATGTAGAACCGCGTGAAATTTGCTATCGAAACCATGAGATGAGCACTCGAGTCAAAGGATAGTTTCTCACATTGCTCGTTCTGGATTCCAGAGAAAAGAATCTCGAGTCCATCAAACAAAGTAGCACAGATGCTGGAACAAATGGCAGCACAATCAAGAGGATTGTCTAACAATGCCTGCGCAGCAGTAGCGGTAGAAGATGTTTTTATGGTGTATGCTGAGGGCAATTTCTCAGCTATGAAGCTGCGGCATTGTCCTAGTGCCTGCGATAAATTTAAATGATCAACTCATTTATCTCTGACGCTCCTCGCACCTGTTCATGGCTCATAATGCGCTTGATTTGATGCAACTTTACCCCTTTTCTTACAAGGAGGCAATGCACAACTTTGAGGGTTATTTCGCCACGTATGAAAGTCGGGTCAGCAGCTCTGAGAAGATCGTATGTTTCAACAACGTTCCCGAAAATTGAATTCTCTTGAGGGACGACTGCGAGAGGAACCTGAGAAGACAGCGTCATAAAGACATCTTGACCTAAAGATCAGAATTTGTATTTCTCCGATCTGTTTGTTTCTCACCTGCAACAGATTTTCGTTGCTCGTACGTAGCACGAGAGCCGAAAACCTGAAATGCTGCCTTCGAAGCGGTTTGGCCATCAGCCTGGCTTCGAGATAAGGCATCATACTACTTGCCTCATGTGTATATGTACCGAGCGGTCCCAAAATTGCAACCTTCATCGTTATTTTGCCCACCGTAAGTCTAGAGTCGAGCAGTCATTAGCAAAAGAGTAGTTCGGTTTCATCGGAGTCATCGGACTACAGACGGCATGGTTGAGAAACCTACCATTGTACCAAACACCTTACAACAGATGACACTCGAAAAACGCTATTTTTGTAATAAAAACACACAAAAATATATCAGAGCAGAATACAGGGGGAGAAGCGCTAGGACACTGCTTATTGTTATGCCAGTGATAAGAATGATCCAGGCTCATGAAGACTGTCGTGTAAACTGATTTTGCTCTCTGGATGGGAGCCCTCGTTGAAAAGAGCCTGAATTGAACCGGATTCGAGGGATCGAGGGAAGGTAATCTGGACGGGCATTCTGGGTGCTGTTCCACAATGTTTCGTGATTAAATCCTCCAGCATTTTTGCATACCTGTGAGCCAGAGGTATACGTTCCCCAACTTTGGATATTGCTGAGCTGTGGTAGGAAGAGGTCAAACGCCCCGTTGATAAATGTCAGAAGAAAACCTACTGCACGAAGTCAATTTCCGATCGAAGGGTCGACATTTGTTCCAGACTTCGCGCGTCCAGTGCGGCTTGCAAAAAGCGCACCAGGACTCGTGCACCAATGAACCAGCAAAACTGAAGTCCGTTATGAGAGAAAGTCATTCAATACTTTCCTTAACTTACAATGCAGAAGGTGTCCAAAAGTGTGATATCATAGCTTGTCGACCAAACATCATATATGAGGTCCAGAATGGACCTTGCGGCAGTCAGGATCTTGAGGGCGGATATACACCCTGATTGGCGAACTTCGGCGTGGGGATCATGAAGGATGATGGTGCATCTTACATCCGTAGAAGAATTAAACGAAGTTCAGACAGGTGAAAAACTGCGCTCACACAAGAGGCATCAGACAAGCAGCATATAGATGGTTGTCGACAATGTTGTCTTTGATAGGACTGCGAAGCCGTGTAGGGAAGGAGGCATGGAAGGAGGCAGCTACGTGATCGAGTTCAATGAATGCGGCTGAACCACGAGGGTCGACAGGATCGGTGGAATCCTGCGGAGCGTCGGGATACAACGTGGCGACAGTCGAATCTCCTGCAAAATGCTTGGATCTGTAACGCAAATTGAAAGCTTTCACTCGAGCTAGTTGGCAGAGTGAATACCAGTTAAGAAAAAAAAGGGGGAAAGCCTACAGATAAGTATTGTCCCTTTGATATAGAGCATGAAGGAGTCAGTTTGATTCTCAGGATGGATAAGAAGTAGATCCCGCGATTGAGCCCATTGTCTTTCCACTGGTTTGACGAGTGCCTGAAAACTATAGAATAAACCAAAAAAAAAAAAAAGGTCTTAGAATACGACTCACTCCCTGTATAAACTGATCCCCTCGGACTGGGAGGAGCTGATTTACATCCTGATCATCGAGACTCAATGCCCAACCGTTACCGCAACCATGCTGGCGCTCAGTTGCATACGCCAACCAGAAAGCATTTCGCCTGGTTTCATCTTCAATGACGGTGCGGGCGGGGGCGAGAATGGATGGAGGTCGTTCCGACTTCGTGATCGAATGAAATGGGGGACAGACATTAAGCCCCAATGGGACGGATAACCTCATGGAATGAGCGGAGGAAAGAAACATCTAGAAATATCAGGAACGACAGCCTTCTAACCACATTATCCACCCACGTACATCAACCCATCTAGGGTTTGCTTCAGTCATCGACACCTAAGAAAGTCTGCATAACGACACGCACCTCCCATGAGACCAATAAAACCAAGTCAATATGATGTTAGCTAGAGAAAGGTGAACACCTAGCGACTGACGAGCGTGTAGGTGAACCCACTTTGCAAAACCTGGAAAAGGTGTTCTCCCACAGCATTCAATCGCTCCGCAGAATCTCTCGCGAGCTTTGCTTGTGCTTCTGCAAACGAATCGGGACGCTGTTCACGAAAACGTTCCAAGAAGATTTCATCTGCGGAAATTTTGAATCGCAATTATGACTGAAAATTCATATGCATACCAGGGGCAACTTCGTTAAAATTGGGAAGAGGTGGAGATGTGACCGCCGCGGTGTAAAGGCTACCAATAGCGGACATAGCATGAAGGACGGGTGTTGATGGGAATTTTGGGTGGCTAGGTGGCAGTGAGAGAGAATTCAAGAAAGTAGGGGCATGAAACAAGCGGTTGGCATGAGGGTGAAAAACAAAAAACACGTCAACTCTGGAGATGAATTAGCTATCGCTAAAGCGAGTTCAACACACTTTCTGACGTACAAATGGCGTAGCAACTCAGGACCAGGAAGTGAAGGTGGCCAGTTAGGCCACATGACCTGGAGGCCAAACGAATTGACCTCTCTTAAGGACGCCCCTGTGATAGCAGAACGCAAAGAAGGTGACTGCGATAGATGGCTTGACGATGCCCGTTCAGAGCCACCGCTGGCATATTGGTGCGAGTGATTCGAGAGGGAATCGGAGACTAAATTATTCAGGATGAGCAGTCTAGTTAAAGAGAAACACCTTGTCGTATCGAACAAACCATGCGAAATTCCAGCTGCGCTGGGTCGATTGTTAGTGTCAATGGTTGCAGTAGCGCCTGTATTAGAGTTGTTGTCCTGTTGTCGCAGGAGCGCTTCTAGCTCGTCTACGTTGCACACGGCGTTACTGAGGAAGGGGAAAAGGCAACTGAAAAGAACGCACTGATCCTGTTTTCCAGGCGTTCATACTTGCTCTTGGGTCCCTCAGGTACATTTGTACTAACCTCCGCAACTGTGGCACTATACGTCAGGCGTCAGTGTGGATGGAAAGATGAAAGAAGCGTGCTGTCATCGAAAGTACATTCCGGCTTAGGTGGCATCACCGTCCCTGGAGCAGCATGGGCGACGGCATGAGCATGGGATCGTAGACAGGTTGAACATGGTCGTTTCGCGTCACTGAAAGGGTCGATATAAGAGCGTGCGCCTCGTATTTAACGAGGTGAGCAATGATTACCATTTCTGCACCCGAATAGTGAGTGTCCAAGAAATCGGGTAGATAGTGAGCGCACGCACCAACTTCCTTCGACGGCACTTGCAAGGACCGAATCAGAAAACATACATTAGGTGACCAGTGTGGATTGCTTAAACTCACTTGGTGGCAGGCCTTGCATAGGAATGACTGAGTTCGGTCGCTTTCTGTAGTGGGTATGAGACGCACCTGATTCCGCTTCAAAACATTGGGATGGGAGCTTGAGAGCGCCAATAGGGGATTGCTTGAGGTGCGGTTAGTGGGCTGCTGGGCGACTCGAGGCATTTGAGGGAATGATTTTGAGAGGCAGCCTGGAGAGCACAATCAGAGGGGCTGCAATGGCGGAGGCAAGGTGGGAACACTTCTTCGGTTCTCACTGGTGCGCGCCTGTTTGGGCCACGTGCGAGTCGGAAGCACACTCTCGCCGCCGCGGACACAGCACTTTTCATTTTGCAACGGCACAGATGATCGAGTTTGAAACTGCGGATATATTTCCGAATATCCAGTCTGTAAAGCCCACAACGACAAAAGAAATCCGAGAGTAGTAAAACTTAATGCATAAGGATAAGATCGATGCGACAGCAATATGCTAAATAGTAACGAAACGAAAAGATCAGCACCGGAAGGAAAGCCATAGATGTGCATTTAAGGTCATGGAGAGAAATCCTGGGTACCTGTCAGAGTCGAGGTGATGTTAGGAAGCCCAATGTTCGGAATGTTGTTGGTGATAGCGGTGTTGATAGCATTCCAAGTCTGTGTGATGGTATTGTCGCCCAAGGAGGTGTCCCGTACCACAAGCGGCGAAGTAGCATTCTCGGTCCACACAATGGATCCCTTTACGGAATCGATTGTCCAGTTCCTTAACGCGTTACCGTCGCTGGACCCGAAGAACAGTGAACCAGACGGATTTGTGAATGGGGAAACCGTTGACGTCAAGTCAGGAGGCCCAACATCTCCGAAGACTGCGACTTCGAGAATCGGCAGGGATTGGAGGGACCGGAAGAGAATGGACGAGAAATCTGGAGGAACGGGTGTCTTGCTCGCTGAATCCAAAACAAACTTGACGAGTGCGCTGGCAACATTTACATCTGTAATTGATGAAAGGTATTGCAGGACGACATGATCAAAGAAGCTGAACGTCCCATATTGACGCGGGTCCAACTGAGAGGGTGAGATTGTAGTTGCTCCGGTGACTGAGGAACTAAACAATTCTCCACTATACACCACCACTCGAGGGCTTGCATCTCTGGTGAGAACAGCAGCTTGCTTAAGGACACCCGTCCTGGTGTCTAGGAAGGGTAGCCGGAGGCGTGCCACATCCAAAACACCGTAAATGGGACGATTGCGATAACACGCTGGGTCGAATTGAGAGGCGCTTGCGGCAGACGGAAGACCATAAACGCCGGTCTCGACCATATTAATCTGTTGCTGAGTAGCCGTAGAGAGGCCAGGAAAGCATGAAAGTGGAGGGGGGAACGTCGATGATGGCGAACTTGTGTAGAGGTTGCGTAATGAACTCGAGGAAGCATTAAATGCGAGCATAATCGGAGAAACGCTGAGAACAGCCTTGAAGGTGGGCAGGTCTTCGAGGCGTTGAAGCAATACAGAGGTCCAATACTTCTTGAGGGCACCGGACCGTTGTATGGATGATGCTGTATCAAGTCATGAGCTAAGGAACTGCACAGCAAATTGACATACCTTGGGCAAAGGTGTACATTCTGTCCAATGTGGACTGTGCACCGGAACTAACCCTAGCTATCTGGGCATTCGTTGGCTGGCCAAGGGTGATGAAAGAGGCTGGAGGTCGCGCCACAGTTTGAGAAGCAAAATTATAGGTATAGCCGGAGGCGATTATGCCAAACGATGCTTGCTCAGCGACGGGGCCGTCGGAACTACTGATGCTTTTCCATGGGAGGCTCTGAACGGATTGCAGCATCTTCTGAGCTGATGTCGTATCCTGCGTCTGAACAGAATTCCAAAGCAACGCCGCCTGGGCCCACTGCGTTCTGTTGGGGAAGGTGGCTGGATCCAGGCCGCTGCCGACATCGATCAAAAGAGCTTGCGAGGCACAGTTTGTTGTCGTCGGGCTCCCTTGCATCAACCAAAGATTGGAATAGGTGGAGGCTGCAGTAAAGTTTGCCCCAAACAATTGATTGACCACAGGCAGGATGTTGAGGACACTCTGAGCTACCCCGTTACACTGGGTTGTTGACGACGTACAGACACATGTGGCATCTGGGGACATCAGCTACAAAAATACATCCGAGAGGGAGAACATACCGAGGTCACATGTGGATCCAGTGAGATTGCCCTCGCAGTTGGGTCGAGTGCTTTTCTTCTTTCCAAGTGTAAGCCCGACCCCAACACCCACACCCGCCAGTATGAGGACAACGAATATCACGAGCACGATACAGATTCGTCGTCTTCGCGGGTTGCTCGCCATTCGGTGACTAGTTGACCCTTGGCTCTTCTGCAGTTGGGAAGTCATAGTCAATTGTCGGGACCCAGGGTACTCAGACTTCCGTGTTCCGCTATCGGATATCCTGTCGTATGTCGTAGAATCGCGAAACGCAGAAAATGAAGAAATGCTCTGATGGGGATGCTGCCCTTTCTCTAGGAGGTCTCGAAGAGCACCAGCTCGGTTGACGAGGTCTGGTAGTGGGGCCGCTTCTTCCTGCCTACGGTGTGCATTCTGGGTCGCAACGGAAATGTCAGGGATTATCGGGACGGGGGGCAGCGGCTTCACTGTTCTCCACGGCAGGATGCGCCGTAAGGAAAAGCCTGATACCCGTGACATGAAAGTGGGGGCGGCACTCTTAGTTGAGTGTATGGAACCTCGACGTTCATGAGTTGGTTGATACTCCTTCAGCGTCCGGAGTCGCGCTGCTGTATTCGATGGAGGGACGGCCTGATAAGCGTTCGTGTTGTATGACTTGTAATCCAGGCCATCCCCTAACTCGTAGGTCGTCCCCAATTTGCTCTGCTGGAAGCCTTTGTCCATGCTACGAATTGTATCCGAATCCATTGTTGATGAGACTTGACTAGCGCTAGATCCGCTTCGTAGGCCCGCTGCACCAAAACCACCAGGTGCACGGACTCCATTTCTGGATGAATAACCTTGCGTCGAATGAAGAGTCTCCGAATCGCCAGATGCGCGGTTAAAGAGCTTATTATGCTGGGAATAAGCGCTAGGGGGAGGTCTTGATTCTTGCGAGCGTTGATTGTGAGGTGGTCTTTCAATTGGAGGGTAGGTCATCTCGGATATTCCGCTGAAAGCCTCGCTGGCAGCATAAGAATTCCGCCTAGCCCTACGTGACTCCTTGTTCTCCTGCAGGAGGGAAGTAATGAAGGAAGTCGGTAGCAGGCGATCTTCGGTCGCATCAACATCAATGCCAGACTCCCCGTCATGCCAGTCGTAGGCTGCAAGGATGTGGGAAGAGGAGGACGCCTGAGGGGGTTCGGGGACATGAGGAGGTACGGGGGCATCGGAGGATTGGTTTAATGAATGGAGGTGATTGTAACGAGAGAAAGTTAGAGGGGGACTGCTAGGGGGATTGGGCGGCCTTGCGGAATGTGGGGTAGTGCGTAACGGAGAAACGCAAGGCAAAGCATTACTTTCAAAGGTCGATCTGCTCGGCGAGTTGAAGTAGCCCTCAGGGTTGGTACGTAGGGGTGTAGTCGGGATGGAGGATGGCGGTTCTGGGAATCTGGACAGTCCGAGGCTGATAGTGCTTTCTGCTATTCCCGATGCATTGGTATCCAACGAGGTCGCATGGGAGTGTCGGGGAAGCCTCAGTGTTCCCCTAGAGCGATCGTCCTGCTGCGACATGATCTACGGAGCGGAATGGGGGTTTGGAACAGACTGCGTGGAGTGGGGAGAGGGTTAAATACCAAATTGACGCGAGCCTGTCCGTCCAAGAATTAACCAGGGGAGCTATGTGCATACCCCAACCCCGTTCTCCCAAGCAGCAGGTCTATCGACGCGGGCTGCTCAGGGTCACTTGTAAAGCAGAGTGACGGAGGAAAGGAGAAAGCCAACAGGGTGAGATATGAAGGGGGAAAAGAAGCACACACTGTGCACGAACGACAAGGGAGAAAAGAATAGAATACACGCGGGGCTCAGGACCGCAACCACACCCGAAAAGTAACATGATCAATCTTCGTTCCTGATGATCACCTCTGCAGCCCATAGCACCGGGTACTGCTTGATACACCTCATGAGGCATACCTCTCGCGTTCTGGGTCCATAGAAGCGGGGAGGAAGTACAGAAGAAGTGTATATTATCGATCGAAAACAATTCGCTGTGCGCTGAGTTCGTCCGTGTTTCAATAGTTACGCGGTAGAATGCCGCGTAATTCGGCGGGTCTCGAAGCTGAACGATAAGAGTGTAGTGGTGTTTCAGAAATCTAGTTCAATTGGTAAGAGGAACACAATGACCGAGCGAGCTTAGAGCGAAAAATGAACGGGAAAATCCAGGTTTGTTCAAGCAAGGATCCGGATGTTGGAGAAAACATAAGTACAAGGTCGTAAAAAGCTGAGCAGAAACATAAATGGCGTGATATGATAAAGAGGAGAGATCCCATTCCCGACAGATAGAGGGACCAGTGTCTGAAAATTCATGCAATGATGCATTTCGAACCGGACTTCTTCTTGATTTGTGGGGGTGGGTTCACTTCGAAAACAACACTTTCAGTGTGTTGTAGTATATGGCCAAGAGAAACGCCACTTACAGACAGCCCGGATGGCTTCATCGAAAACAGTCTTTAGCCCTTTCTGGGTAAGAGCTGAACACTCGAGATATTTGACGGCGCCAATATCCTTGCACATTGCGACACCCTGCGAATACTGGATCGGGGCCATACGACTAGGAGCAACCATCAGGGACGGAAGTGATAAAGACGATGAGGTGCGACAACTCACCGGTCTCGCAGCTTTTCGATAGTTGTCGGATCTTCACGCAAATCGAGCTTGGTTCCGACCAGGACTATGGAAGTAGATGGGGCGTGATGGGATATTTCGGGGTACCACTACAGGGGGTTACATATGGGCATACGGGTATGCCTCTGAACAGTGCGCAAGCTACTCACCTTTGTCCTCACGTTCTCGTAGCTGGGCGGACTAACGAGAGAGAAACAGATCAGGAATACGTCTGTCTGGGGGTATGACAGAGGACGAAGGCGGTCGTAATCCTCTTGGCCAGCAGTATCCCATAGACCAAGGGAGATCGTTTTGCCATCGACCATTACATTGGCAGAGTAGTTGTCAAATACTGCAGACGGTCGGGTTGCGTTCATTACATGTGGGTGACGTGGGCTGGTCGGGATACGCACCAGTCGGAATATACTCTCCCTGTAGCGAGAGAACTGTCAGGGCGTGCGGCGCCGGCGAATAAGAGAGGACATACGGGGAAGGCATTGGTCGTGTAAGAAATAAGGAGACAAGTCTGGGTGAGAGAAGGGATGGGTGTGAGCGGATACGGGTAGGTGAGTGCGCACATACCTTCCCAACAGCACCGTCTCCTACAACAACACCTGGAACAGGGCTGGATGAGCAGCGTCGCAGAGGGCCAAAGAGGAGGGAACGGACACTTGATTGCTTGCATGGTATCCTACGTGACTTCGTGGCAGAGAAATGGGGGAAGAGTCGTGTCGTCGCGCAAATGATGGAGGAGGCGGAATTGATGCAGCGGGTGCTGGTGGTCGATGTTGAAAAGCCCAGTCCCTCGCTGATCATTGTTTGGCGACGCCATCCTGATTCATCAGAACACCAGATAACGCCTCGCGTTTCACATAACTTACAGACTTCCTACATAAATAACAGGGACGTCAACGCCAACTATCCTACACCCCATGCATAGATCGCATAGAGAACACACAAAAGATCAGAACGAAATTGTACACGGAGCGGTCGATAGATACCGGAAAACTTCAAAACCACAACCTACAGACAAAAAGGATTTCAAGAACGCGACGACTATAAACGAAAGTACGATATCACTGGACAGACATAGCAAATATAAGATAGCAGATGGGCGAAAACATACAGGGGAGATGCTGATGGGTGAGCTTAACGGTAGACTTCCGGCGACACTTTGCGTTTCTTCGGATGGGGGCTTCCCTCGTCTAGAGACATCGCCTCTCCATATCCAGGTGATGAGAGGATTGCTGTGAGTTCCGCGTCCACGGCGGAGCTCAAGGACTCGTCTTTGGGATACCTGAACGGTTCAAGAAGTCCAATCCCGAGGCCGACTACACTAGACGATCCATTGCGGAGGACGGGACTTTCGGCGTCCAGCCGGGTCCTGGGCAAACGGACAGGAGAAATAGTGGATTCTCCTCCGACAGATGGCCATGAGTCATAAATGGAGAATGGGTCGTTGTTAGAAGTGTCGACTGGGAGAGATGACGGGGCGAGACAATTCTCCGAGAGCCATGCCTCAGAGACGTCGGATGAATTTCTTTTGTGCTCCACTGCAGCCCTCCGACGCTTACGAGGTAATGGAGATCCTCGCAAGTCTTGGCTGCTGCTGGTCCCAACTATTGGACTGGCGCTTAATGGAGAGGATATCTGATCTGCGAGGCGCGATCTTGGCGCGGGTTTCGCAAACAAAAACTTCGCCCCTGCTGGCGTCTCAAAAGGTCCAACGTCTGAATAAATTATAGCTGACAGCGGCGAGGAGTGCATGGCCAGCATCGACGTCGGACTTGTTCCGAAGGAAGGAAGTCCTTTGACAATGGGAGTCGCTGTAGGACGCGTCAACATCGTCAAAGACAAGTCGCGGGTGTTAGAATGGAGTGGGTGGCTTGGGCTTGGATATCGCCATGGCTGATCGGAGGGAGGGCGCGGTGGAGAGTGCCGGAAGGAAGGGGTTTGAAGCGGATTGTAAGGAGATTCAGGAATGACAGGATGAGAGATATTTGGCGAAGGTGACACTAGTCCGTCAGAGTTTTCCCCCAAGACAACTGGGGGATCTGAAGAGACATGTGGGGTTAGAGGTGGGGTCATCGCCTTGAGAGGGGCTTCAATTTCACTCTCCTCTTTAGCAGGAGGAATTAATTCCTGTTGAAAATGATATGGCGTCAGGGGCAATGGTTGTTGTGTACGCCTGCGCTCGCGATCGCGCGTTTTAGGTACTTCGATCGGTTTACTGGACCGGAAGCGTGATTTGTGCGACACATTTTCAGGCGCTGTTTGCGGGGCGACAATAATGCTGAGAAGGCTGTCGTGAGCGTCCTCACGGGCCCTCCCAGAAATGTGAAGCTTATTCTCCTCTGCGCGGTTGTCAGTTCGTTGTATGTGAGTAATCTCAAGGAGACTAACTTCCGGATCCACGCCCACGTGGGCGGTCTGTACCCCCATCCCTGCGATTTGACATTGCGATCTTGTGTTTCTCAAAGACGTGGCGTCTCCACATACTCTTTGCGTTGACGCCCGCGTATGTCCTGCGGCAGAATGTGCATCGAAGGCGTGGCTCCTCGCCTTCGGGCCATCCCTCTCCGCCACGCTCTTTGAGATCCTTCTTCTTTGCCGGACACCAGCCACGGGGAGGCTCAAGGTGAGGAGGATAAGAGATTGCTTTAGGATTAGCGTTGTGCTGTGAGACGAAGTCGCAGGGGTCGAGGAACCACTCGGGGTTCTCCGCCATGAGAGAGTAGGTGAGGCCATCGGGATGCTGATTCGAGTTTGGGAAAGTAGTGAAGGGTGGATGGATGAAGTGTACTTTTGGATCAGTGGGAAGCGGGTCCATGCCGGGCGGGACCGCTAAGGAGTCATGGCCGCGGTGGCTGTTGCGCGTTGACACGACGGGGCGGGAGGAGGAGGAAGAGGCCGTGGCTGCGGGGACGTAGGGGGTCGGGTGGAAGGAGGCGGCGGCGGAGGCGAAGAAGGCGAGGGAAGAGGAGGACATGGGGCAGGGCAACAAGCAGCGCTGGCCCTTGCAATTTGTGTATCGTTGATCGCCTCAAGGCAGCGGAGTTTCCACGATACGCGTGCATCACGTGGACGCGTTTGATCCCATTCAATTACACCAGCTACTCTACTCGTCTTGTACTCAAAATAACAACGAGATATATCTGTCCTCGTCAGTTGCCGTCCTTCCACAGAACAAGACACGCTTACCCCGCGATCATCACCATCCCACCCATTGGCGTTACTGGGCCCAATATCCGGAGTCTGCACAAGCATGAGACATTATTGCATCCACTCGACACAGCTGGCACATACCTTTCTTTGGCCAGCACGAGAGCCCAGATGCTTCCCGAGAAAATTACCCCGCCGCACGCGATAGCGGGTCCAGCGAACCGGTGTGTTGCGAACCTAGGATGAAGTGACAGAAGCAACATCCCCAGTCCATTGTAAACCTGCCATTCCAGGCTGTTAGTATCCACAGGTATGGTGCAAGTCAGAGCGTACCGCGTATGTGGAAGCTGTCTCCCAGGCGTGTATGTTATCAGGAATTATACCTGGTTGCCGACGAAGGCCATGGGCTCAACGAACACCAGTCTTCAGCAAGTTCAGAACCTCGATTCTGCTGCACACATACCACCAAAGGCACCAGTAAGCATACCAGTAGCCACTATTCGTCCCTCACAAGATTCAGCACCATTTCTTGTTGATTGAAACAGACAGGGAGTAACAAGTTGGACGAACCAAATGCTGCGCCGGTCTTCCAGAGAAGCGCCTGAGTGTCCAAGAAACCTGTTTCAGTATTTCTGCTGCAACTTATTTGAACGATTCACCATTCTGTCCTTCACTTTATGCGAATTGAAGTTGTCCTAATGGCAAAGACCTTGAATTGTCCTAGAGTTTCCGAGAGACCAATGGAGACGATTTCTGCCGGCTTACTCAAGGTCTATTATTGGATCTAGAACACGATTTTACGTAACCATCATTTGAGGCTAAACATATTGCTTCCGTCCACGTGGGTCTGAAATTTCAAGGCGTGATCGAAGTTTATCTCATTGACTCCTTCGACGAAGTCCAGTGCCCAAGATCATGGGTAAGGCGCAAAAGAAGACAGGAAAGGGTCGACTCGACAAATACTACAAGCTCGCAAAGTATGTCTGTTTCAGCTGCATGATCGATTATTTGCTAAAGTGTCTCTAGAGAGCAGGGGTATCGAGCACGTTCGGCCTTCAAACTCATCCAGTTAAACAAGAAATATTCGTTTCTTGAGTCAGCAAGATGTACTATCGATCTTTGCGCTGCTCCCGGTGGTTGGTTACAGGTCGCGAGCAAATACATGCCGGCAAATAGCATCATTGTCGGTGCGACACTTTCACTTTGCCCAAGTAAAGCGTATTGACTCTTTCCAAAGGTGTTGATCTTGTACCCATAAAACCTATCCCCCGAGTCGTCACCTTCGCTGCTGACATCACCACTCCACAATGTCGAAACTTGATTCGGGGAGAGCTGAAGGATTGGAAGGCGGATGTTGTGCTTCACGATGGTGCACCAAACGTTGGAACTGCTTGGATTCAAGACGCCTACAGTCAATCGGAGCTTGTGTTGATGAGTTTGAAGCTGGCGGTCGAATTCTTGTCCAAAGGCGGAACGTTTGTTACCAAGGTTTTCCGGAGTGTGGACTACAACAACCTCATTTGGGTTTTTAACCAACTGTTTGGCAAGGTGGAAGCCACGAAACCCCCTTCGTCCAGGTATGCGTATTTTAAACCTTCTTAAATGTGTTGTACTCACGACGGCGTACCCAGAAATGTCTCTGCCGAAATCTTTGTGGTTTGTCGAGAGTTCCTCGCGCCTAAGCACATAGATCCCAAATTCCTGGACCCCAAGCATGTCTTCAAGGGTTTATCGTCCACCATTGCAGCTACTGAGAAAGGAATCTCTGCTGGCGACGCGCAGTCCAACGTATTTCACCCCGAGAAGAAAAGGCGGCACCGTGATGGATACGCCGATGGAGATTATACCCTTTTCACGTCCATCACAGCCTCTTCCTTCATCCACGGGAAAGATCCAGTGTCAGTACTTGGTGGTGCCAATAAAATTACCTTCCTGTCAGAAGAAGAGAAAGAGTAAGAATGATGTTTCTCCAATGTCTTCCAGCTCACCCTCATTTATAGGTGGCTTGCGCTAGATATTACAACTGACGACGTGAAAGCAAATTGTGATGACTTGAAGGTTCTAGGCAAGGGCGACTTCAAGACCTTGATTAAATGGCGGCTCGCTCTGCGAGAAGAGGTTTGTTTATGCACGCTCAGGGCATCGACTTGTTCTCAACAATTGCATGAATCACATAGCTCGGCATTGATGTCAAGTCGAAGGAAATCGAAGACTCGACCGAACACGCTGAAGTTGTTGAGGTTATTGACGAAGAGCAACAAATCTCCGAAGAAGTAAGTGCTGCATCCTTAGCTGTCGACGAGTATCTAAGTATGCTGTGTAGTTGGGAAGACTAAATGCTGAAGCAGCGGCCCGCGCGAAGCGAGAAAGACGGAGAGCAAACGAAATCAAATCGAGGACAATTCAACGTATGCAACTGCAGATGACTGCTCCCTTAGATATTGGCTTAGAACAACGTGATGCTGCTCTTGGTATTGGTCAAGACGATGTATTCAACCTAGGAGAATCTTTTCCCAGGAAGCGACGAGGAGGCCTCACCATGGACGATGATGGCGACGCCGTTGTCGAAAGTAGTGAGGAGGAAGGAGAAGACGAGGAAGAAAAGCCCCTTGACTCAGAAGAGGAGAGGGAGAAGAGGTTGTCCGGACTGGAAGCCGAGCTGGACGGGCTTTACGACGCCTACCAAGGTCGGCTGCGGGAGCGCGATGCCAAATTCAAGGTGAAAGAGTCACGGAGAAAGAATGCTGAACGGGAAGCATGGAATGGCATCAAGAGCAATGGCTCTGATGGAGAGGACTCCGACGAAGAGGCGGAAGAGGAAGGTGGCTGGGACAATATGCAAAAGGCGAGATTGGACGACAGCGAGGACTCGTCAGCAGACTCGTCAGACGATTCGGATGCTGAGGAACAGAGCTCGAAAGCGAAAAAACGCGTACAATCTTTGAAGGATTTGGGCCTGAAGAAGAGCAAGCGACAGCGGCTGCAATCACCGTCGGACGCTGTGGACGCTGTGCCTGCTTCAAACGCCGCTGCCAAGGTGTGGTTCTCTCAGGATGTTTTTGGTGGAATCAATGGACTCGATCAACTCAGCGAGGCGGAAGATTCTGATGACGACATGGACGCAGAATCAGAACAGCTGAGCGAATCCGATGAGGATGTTGAGACAGACGAAGATGAAGATGTGGTATGATTTCTTTCAGGCTGCCAAAGTACACAAGGCCTCATGACCTCTGTAGGAGTCTGATGATTTCGAGGCTGTTCCCCGAGAGCAAGATGACGACGGCGACCTTTGGGATGGGGACGATGAAAATCAAGACGAAAAAGTACAGGCAAAAATAAAAGGTGAGCCTGAAGGTCTTTTGCCGACTATTTTTCAGGTCTGACGAATCTACAGAGCTTGGCCTGACAACTGCAGAGGCAGTCACGATTGCCCAGCAGCTGGTAAATCGTGAAAAGACGAAAACTCAGCTGGTGAACGAAGGCTTCAATCGATATTCTCTAAATTCAAAAGAGGGTCTTCCTTCCTGGTTTTTGGATGAGGAGGCAAAACATTATAAACCTAACATCCCAATTACGAAAGAGGCTATGGCAGCCCTGCGAGCGAAGCAGCGAGCACTAGATGCGCGGCCTATCAAGAAGGTTGCAGAAGCGAAAGCTCGCAAGAAATTCAAGGCTGCCCAAAGGATTGAGAAAGCAATGAAGAAGGCGGAGGGTGTCAACGCGACTGCCGACTTGACCGAGCGCGAAAAGGCTCAGCAAATCGATAAACTCTTACGGAAAGGCCTATCGTCAGGCAAGAAAGTAAAGGACATCAAAGTTGTCGTCGCAAAAGGTGCACATAAAGGGATCAAGGGTAGACCAAAGGGCGTTAAAGGCCGATACGCAATGGTGGATGCAAGAATGAGGAAAGAGGTAAGCGCACACATTCTTATATCTTCTTGACCAATAGGATTGAATCAACATGTTTAGGTGCGGGCGAAGAAGCGCAAGGAGAAAGCTACTCGTAAGCGGTGATCAAGCATTATGATTAGTTGTATGCTAGTAGGTAGACAATTCAGATCCTTTCATTACTCTAAACAAAAGATCCTCTCGGATGGAGACTCCTTATCGCGCTGGCGATTAGAAGTAAGTGAATCACAGTCCTGTAAGAAATTGTTCCATCCCATATCTGTTTCGAAATCTTTACAGATGAGCTTTAAAAATGTTTAGCGACGTGATACGCAGGCACTATGGTAAGGGTTACCTTAGAGATGGTGACGTCCTTTCCCGTCACTGCGTCGACAGTTGTTTCTAAAAGGAACTCGCCACGAAAGAAGATAGGTGCGTCTTTCGACGTGTCCAGCGGGACTGACTGACGACGTTGTCGTACATGATCGCTAGATCTCAAAATATACGGAGTGTCTTTATATGTTAGCATTAAAGGGATGTCCGCCTGCTCGATGGAGGGCCTGATAACAGATCAGCCTTCTGGTTCAACCCAACAGAGTAACTAGACGTACTGAGTTCGCAAACGCTCTGTAAATGCTCGTAATTCCTCCGGTAAATCATTAGGTGATAGTTCCCGCGAGTTCGTAGCCCATATGTGAATATCTGAGGGGCTGCAGCAGACTCAAAAAATGAACAAGATGTCTGGCTAAAAATGCTTTACCTGTCAGGGATCAGGATGTCAATGCCCGTTTCCATGCTTTGTTGACATACAGCTGCCCTTTGAGCGTCTAGTTCGTTTGGCATGGCCTCTATGTCCCCTCCGGTCTGTCCTTCGGGGATCTCGACAGTGAGTATTTTGCGAAGGTTCGTGGACTCTGGGATAGGGTCCGAGCGGTGCTTTTCCAGAGATTGAGCGACGTATACAAGTCTATGGAACTGCCGCTCATGGCGATTTCCTGAAGACAACAAGCTTTGGGGCACGCTACACAGAGAAAGAATGGGAGACATCGGAAATGACTTGTGAGACAGTGGCAGAATACCCACCTCGGGTTGAAGAAAGTATCGTCAGGGGATTTCTTGATCCAATCGAGGATGACATTCGGCTCCTGGATACCTGCTAAAGGAGGAACGAGAGACGTTGGACGCGACGTAGGGGCGAGGAAAAGAAAATGGCCCGAACTAAAGATGAATAAGAATGTTTCTCAGAATCGGGAATGGGGTACATACGAAGCTGTAATAGATAGAAAGGAGGCTTCGAAAGGGACCTTCGCCAGCTCGCCGAGTAGGTGGCTCCGAATATCAATCCTGGAGCTATTCTTCCGTAAGGCAACCTGCATCGTGCAACTGACATCTTCCTCACCTTTGGGCAGCTACTGTCCCAGAATTATGAGCTAGCCCTTTCGTGAAAGCATCGGTGGAAGAATCGTCTGTAATCCAATGTCCAACACGACGCAGTCGGAAGGCACTTCTTGATTCCAACTTCCTTGAACTTGTTTGCATTGGAAGGAAGGGATACAAAGAATGATTCGAAGAGGAAAGGATGTCTAGTGCCTCCTCTGGAAGAAAAATAGCCTTAGTCGAAGCGTCCGTGTCCTAAAACAGCATCTGAGGTTTGGGAACAAACTATAAACTCGTAGACAGACCATCATCGATGTTTGGACCGCCAACCTTTTGGCAATTTGGGCAGTATGGGGCTGACTCTTGCGATAGGTTATCCAGAGCTGGAGAAGAATGAGTTTGGAGGCCCCAAAAGGCAAGGGATGTCGAGTGACCTTTCCGTCTGCCTCAGCCTCGACGTAAGCACCTGAGGCTCGAGATATGGACTGAGAGGCTTCCGGATTGACTCGCTGTCCTAAAGGTAAGCAGGAAGTCTCAAATTCTAAACCCTGTGAATGTTATAGAAAGGCCTGGAGCTAAGTTTAAGACGGACTGACTGATTTGAAGATATCTAGATACCCCTCGACCTGTTTCAGTGACCCTTTCAGACCTTGGACTTTCAAGGTAAGAGGATTTGAGGTAAAGGATAAATGGACATTGTATCGTTTGGCTAGACTGAGGAGATCCGCGCCATCTAACACGACCTATCAGCACCCTGCGCGAAAATGAAAGGGGCAAAGAATACCTTTCCCCATCAACAAGAAAGACGGCCCAGGCTCCATCGGAAATTCTGCATTTTCAGTATTATTAAGATATGAAAAATAGAGGGGAATTCAAGGAATTGGCTGACGGTGTTCCGAAACCTCTGACTGGTCTATCCTATCCTGTTGCACTTCAGCGAGCGAAGTCCATCCCCATTTCTCCATAATCGTTTCGGCATAAAGGCGCTTTGTCAACCGTCTTTTTGGAGGCGGGCGGGTCCCATATAGCTGTAGGAAGCGCTTGAGTTGTGGTATTGTGAAAGACGCAGCGAGAACGTCGAGTAGTTCCGTATAGTCTTGATCATATGTAGACGACCTTGGGTTAGGACGCCTCCTATGTTTATATTGCTCGATGTCTTCCAAGGTGACTTTGTCCTTGGTGGATTCGATATGAGCAAGGTATGCAATGAGCTTGTTCCTTGGCGCATGACCGTCGTCGATGTTGACGGCCGGTTTGCGGGCTCTCTTTGCGGGCCTCCTTTGGGAAATATCCAGCTCTTGCGTTAGTTGCGACAAAGTCTTCCCAGTAGAGGGTGGGGTATCGGGAGCCAGAGGTCGTGACCGGGTTGCCCTAGAGCCCCGATTTGTCATAGGTTTCGAGGCTGCTGCATGGACAGACCTGTGGCTAGTCCAACAGAGATTAGAGAGAGTAAAGGAAGGGTCGTACCCAACGCGACGAAGAGCAGACATCGCGTGCTCTCGTGTCAATGGTGGTGCAGGTCACGGTCAAGTTTCTGTGATCACCCCTGCACGCGGAAACGGAAATATTGTCTATATTTGGACACGATGCCTCCGTTGTGCTGGACGTTCTTTCTTTCCTTCTTTCTTTCTTTCTTTCTTTTTGAAGCCGGGTTCAAAGGCTACTTTGTGTCGTAGTAATCTGATTTTCAGTTTCACCCAAGGAAATTCTTGAGGCATATTTTTGCTCTCGCTGCAATTTGTGATTAGCCTCTACTAATACTACAGCTAATGGCATTTGCAACAGTACGGAATTACTTCGACAACTTTGTATCTCCGTCAAAATTACCGTCGTGGCTATTCTCCCTGCTCCATTCATTATCCGACAGATATTGCATGAAATTTTTGTCTTCGTCCGCAAAATCGACGCCTGTCATGTCCGGAACAAAGAAGTAGGTCACGAGTATGCCAGTTGTTCCGCATATTGCTTGGTGATGATGTTACTTGTTACCAACGATACAGTTTCCTGACCATAAGGCATACCTGCAATGATGAAAGTCCACCTGCTTTGCGATGAGCGTGAATATACACATGGCAAACGTTATACGTACTTTTTCCCCAAGATGTAGCTGTATGGGGGTGAATGCCTGCGTCCCTACTGCAGCTCCCGTTTTTCCGATCGCCGCTGAAAGGCCATAGCAAGTGCCACTGCGAAGAGGAGTTGTCAGTTGCAAACCTTCCGGCACCTTTTTTTTTCTTACAGACCGAATGGCAGTTGGATAGGACCTAATCTCGTCGCCTTAAATCCTTCTGAATAAGATAGCGAACGATCGGCTTACTCGGAGCTCACAAGACCAAGCATGTCACCTGGACCCTGTATGAAATAGATTCAGAACGGAACAGCAATTCTGCTTCGTTAGATGTTGACCATGTTTCCAAAAGATTGCATCAAACCATAACTGCAAAGGCGTCTTCAGAGACATGGGGGAGAAGTAATATCTGGCTTACAAGATCACGAAGAGCGGTGTGATCTTGGTGATTTTCTCATATGTTAGCCCAATAGCAAGCCCTGTTGATTTTCAAGAAATCACACCGTGAACGATGAGTTCGCACACCTACCAAATATAAGATATCCGCTGAAACCAAGCATCATCTATAATTTTGGATTGTCAGTGATCGCAGAGAAAGGATGTCCACTTGTGCGTACAGTGTTTCGACGACCTAGAGGGTTACACAGAGCCGCGCCAATAAATACTCCTGGTAGAGCTATGGCGCCGAGGAGCAGTTGCCATTCCGCAGTGCGTTTGATGTCTCCGTCATGAATGATGCTAGATATTATGGTTCCCGAGAACACTCCGTTTGGGAACGTGATCTAAGGGAGAGCGCAATGTCAGCCCATAAGATGTGCACCACGGAGTAACCTTTCTCGTACGAAGTCATATAAAAACCTAAGGGAATATTAGAAATGGCCTGAGCATACTAGGCATCCAAGACCGTACCAAGCACCACAAGTGCCAATCAAAGATTTCCAATAGCGCTTTACAATAAGCCAGTAAGGCACACGACCTGCAGAGGGCCATAAGACGATATCGAGAAGAATGGAGAAGTGCCATACGCTTGATAGCGCCCTCGCGATACAATTTCGACGTCAACATACGCAGCCGGAAGTAAAAGACTGTCAAGGGCAATGCGATTCCAACCCCAAAGCAGACCCTCCAGACTGTTTGAAGATGATTTTCGCCTGCAATTGATAGTACTATTAAGAATACGGAAACTGCCAAGGGTCCTCCAAACTAATGCCAGTCAATGTGAGTGACTGTGGCCGTTTCATGAACGACTGTCAAAGAGAACATACGCTTAGAACAAAATTTGTAACCATGATGAAGACTGACAATATGATGAGCAGGACATTCTTCGCAGTAAGATGTCGACGTCTAACCTGGGCCCCGGTTCTTAATCATTTTCTCATTTGCTGATTCAGACGCGCTGGTCGACGATGCTGGATACTCTCCTCCGACCCCCTAGAAGATCTTCAAATTACAAGATAACCAGTGAAAACGATGGTCATTAACGTACTATGCCTGTTAACCCTCTATTTATTGAAGATCAATAAGCGGGACAGGGTTCCGGGATAAACAAAGGGTTACCTTGCGAAGGTCAGGAACCAGAAAAGGCCGGACGGGCTTCCATTTATTCCATGGGCAGCAGTAGCAAGGGTGGCGCCAAGGACGATGAAGGCTGTCGTAAGGACGAGAGCAGCCTTTCTGCCTATCCTATCGCAGATGACGCCGACAATGATTTGACCGATAATGGCGCCTTTCAAGATGCTGGCATTAATGAGACACAGTGGAAGAGAATTCAAGCCTTACCAACGAGAAGTGAATTTGAAACCCTAGTAGACACGTCCGCGGTGTATACCTTCGGATACAGCTTTTTGAATACGACCTATTATGCGAAATCGTGAACCCACTCGCCCTGCTCATGCGCTTGCCACACGTACATTGGCCATTGTCATGAGATTATTCTGATCTACAAGTTTCAGTAAATATCTGGGAGGTGCCACGTCAATATGAAAGAGGGACTCACATCCGTCACTTATTAAGCCAAACGCAGCAGCAGCAATGGTAAAATACGGGCTCAGCCTCTGTTTCTTCGAGAGCGGTGCTATCTCAGAATCGACAGATGCTTGCTCCGGAACACCTTGCTTCTCCTCAGAGTTCTCGTCCGGAGATGGGGTTTGGTCGTGGAAAGAGTCCATCGATGATCCTCAGGCGAAGTAGAGAGTCTGAATGAACAGGCCCACAGTCATGGACATCTTAAATATCCACGATGGCGTCTGAGGGTTAGGTGAGCAAGAGCACACGTGCGTCAGACAAGCATGGTATTGTGAAAGATGAAAGCGGCGAGTACAGGTTGACCGGTCGGATGGGCAAAAATAGAATGACTTGACCCGCATGAGGCGTCGAAAATAGCCAGTTGATAACAGTCGAAATTGGACATGAATGCAGGATATTCAGAGAGAGAAGGCAGCATAGGGTAGGCATAACACGGCGATCTCAGAGAGTCGCTCATCGCGGCACTGACACACTGGAGGTTGAAAACCTCAACGTCAACAGGTGTATTCGAATACCTCTATAATGAAGCAGATCCCTCGACTTCGTGTACGTCTGTTTGTACGTCTGCTCGTGCCCGTTTTCCCGTTTCGTCTCTCCTCCCTCAGACACTTTATTATCCTGCCCTTAGGTCATCAGTCAATGTCTCATCCTCGATTCCTTCAAAGCTTCTTAGCCTTTTCTCTTCCCAGATTTTCCCCTTCCATTCCATTCCATTGCTTTCTGTATGTCCTGATTTCCTAGAGAACTTCAAGTTATTGCATGTAGGACTATTAATACTATAATACCGTACAGACGGTTGAGCCTTTTTTATCCTCTACTTCCTTGATCCTCTATGTCCTTTCTCTCCCTCCAGATGCATTTATCTTCATGTTTCATCCACTGTCTTTTCTCCTTTCATGTAAGCGCCTGCTCGGCTGCACTGCTCATGTCTATTTAGTATTGCGTCAAATTTGCTCTTCCACATGAGTCACATCTGTGCCTTTCCGCCCCAGATTTTAGTCTCTTGAGAGGGCACCCTTTCAAAAATGTCAACTTTCGATCGTATGACGCAGGGTAGTTCTGTCCTAATTGAGTATGAGTTTCTTTCATTTTTCAGCCAAAATCACTCTTTGAGAACCTGTTCAGTGACGGGTTTCGTCTATAGCCGAAGCGAAGCGAGGCAAACATCTTGTTTGAATGAAGCATATATAGCACAAGTCCGCCAGTGTCCCTTCGACATAACATAGACAAACACCCTGTAATCGAAATCTTCGAGCGGAAAATGGAGGCACAGCCTGAACCTACGGTCTCTCGTCTTGTTCTCAAAATGTCCGAACCTACAAACCAAATTGACGAAGGGATCGACTACTCTGATATCGAGGCTAAGTGAGAGGGTTGTGCTAACTTTCATGCCCAAATATTCACAAGAGTATCAGATACCAGGTCCATTTCGATGAGGGTTTTGACAACGTGGTCGTGGTCGACGGCCTACCTGTAATCGACAAGGGAAAACTTGACAAGCTTATCTCGAAGGTGGTTAAGGAGTTCTCGAAGAAGGGCGTCTCAATTAGGGCGGATGACATATTCATGCCTTGGGATAATGCAGCAGGGAAGAGCAAAGGGTAAGCACAGTTTACATACTCCATTGGCACATTTTTAACGCGTGGGTATTTCAAGATACATGTTTGTTGAATTCAGAAACGTCGACGATGCCAACCTTGCTATTGCGAATCTCCATAATCATCCTTTCGACGCTAAACATACCTTTAAAGTCAACTACTTTGCCGATATTGAGAGATACCAAGATTTCGATGAGACTTACGTTGAGCCTGAGCAAGAGGAATACACGCCAAGGGTATGTCGTCTAAATTCCTACTTCTAGGATATTTATGGATAAAATTTCAGGAGCATCTACGTGCGTGGTTGGCTGATCCTCAAGGACGTGATCAGTACGTCACTTATCGGGGCGATGAGGTTTTGATTCATTGGCATGGCAAACCTTCTCAATGTGAGGTTGCATACAAGCCAGTAAGTCTGCTTATCCTCGACAACATCTTCATCCGTTATTCAGCTTGTCGTCAGGAATGGAAGGACTTCCTCTATGTAGCTTGGTCACCAAGCGGAACTTATGTTGCGACATTGCACCGTCAGGGTGTGCGTTTATGGGGTGGCCCATCCTGGAAGCCGCAACAACGCTTTGCCCATCCTCTCGTCAAGCTCATTGACTTTTCACCATGCGAACAATACCTTGTGACCTGGTCGAACGAGCCAATCGTGGTCCCGGAAGGAGCCATCCAAGGCCCTCAATGG